TATTACTCCACTTTAGGCCCAGTAACAGAGTACTCTGTTATACAGAATAGGGCACAGCCCTGTGCTAAGCAAGCTATCTACGAGGAAGTTTACTTTGGAAAGTGACTTCTCTAAATTCTGACTGCTGTCCCCAAATACTTATGAACCATCAAGGCCTTTGGAGCCTACAGACCACTGGATTTCATGATAAAGATCCTTCCATGCCCAAGCTTCCAGACTGTTGCCTCATACTACTGTTTCATGGCAACTTGATCTTTCCCACACAAATGAAAGTACCTTAAAGGGCGATAGGTGTATCTTTCACCCATTTGAATCTCTGGGCCTAGCTCTATGTGGGGCCCACAGACAATCCTCAATCTGAGCTGGTAATGTCACTACAAATCTGGGATTGAGGAAGAAAAGAAGACAGACACTGGGTCTGTACTGATAACATGTTGCTGCTCAGGTATCCCCTTTAGGTTCTTAATTGAGTTTCACAAGTAGCTTTTCTGGACCTAGCATTGCGCTAGGCATCAAGAATCCAAAATGAGTAAGATAATATAGTTCTTGCTACCAAAGAAGTTCTCAATCTAATGGCAGGGAGTCGGGTTATATTCCAGAGAATAAACTCTTCCCTAAGGCATGCTAGAACCCATACCAAATGGCAGCTTGGGCATATTCTGAACTCATTTTTTGTTCCAGGGCGACTCCAGCAGGAGAAGCCATGTACTAGAGATACTCCTGCAAGATGCTCTTGTGTTTTCAAACCTCTGGTGGCACATGACTCTTGCACCAGGCTCCTGATCCATTAGTTCACTCCTGGGTTTGTGCTTCTTTTCATCCACTTGCAGGGAAATCTACAGTCTTTCTGAAGTGCAAGAAACTTCCTTCAGCTTGTCTTTATCCACGCCTACTGAAAAATCTCCTCTTGTAACTTGTTAGTAACAGCTGTTGAAATTTCAGTGGGGTCTACTATCGCACACGAACACTTACAGTACAAATTTACCTTATCATCCAGCTAGTTCATTAACCTTTTTTTTCCTTTCCTTGAGTGCCATGTTCCAGGGTTAACAGGGTATTAAGCATACCTGGCTAGATTAGAGGTGCCTGGTGGAAGCAGGCCTGCCCTTTCCATGTGTGTAATCAGCAGGCAATTTCAGATCATAAATATAAAACCAAAGACATGCACTTTTGCATAAGAAACCATTAAGAGCACATAAAGAAACACATCCTTCACCTTCCTTTCACCATAGGAAAGAAATGAGGTAGCAAGTTAAGCCATAAGCTTCCAGAAAATAAACACACCATCTAAACTCCAACCTGTGTTGCACAGGACTGGCTAAGGCGGTATTAGAGATGATTTCTGAAAAAAGAAAAAGTATGGGGAAAGGATAAGAAAAACTTGATTATGGGTTTGAGCCTTTTCTTTTTAAATTCTAGACATAAATTCTACTCTTTTCTGCTCTGAAAGGATCTATTTCTCATTGACCTCCTGGATGAGACCAACATTTTTCCTCTGGCGATTGGTTGCCAACATAAACTTTCAGCAGGGGTTACTAGCGGCAAACGAAGAAAAAAGAGAGTGAAAACTGTGAATATAAACTATTTCTTGCAATTAGATGTATCGAAGTGTGTGTGTGTCAGTGAGAAAGTATATAAATGCAGGGTTACTGGTATGGAGGGGGACATGTAAGAGTTTGGGAACGTATGTATGAGTGAGTGAGAGTGTGGGTCACTAGCAGTATGTGTGAATCAATGTGAATACATGTGGGTCAATGTGATTATCTCAGTGGTAGTTCAGTGTCAACGTGTTCGTGTGACAGTCTGAGTCAGAGTACATGGTGGATTACAGGAGAGTGTATGACTTCCTGAACAGGTGTGTCAGTGTAAGTGTATCAATGTAAGTGAGAATGTGGCATGGCAAGTGTGAGTGTGAGTCTATGTTGTCATATGGTATCAGTAATTTCCTGTGTGAAGCACAGTCAACTGACTATTGCAATGTGAACTGTGTATGTCAGTGTGGTATGTGCTAGTGTGAATGCGAGTCAGTGACTGTGCATGTCATTACATGTTCACTGGTGCAAATGTGTGTAGCAATGTGAGGGTGTGTCAGTATGAGAGTAGAAGAGTGGGAATGTATAAGAATGTGAGTGTGCAGTAAGGGTGATTGTGCCAGTGTGAAAAGGTGTGATGTATGAGTGGGGGATGGTTTGTGAGAGGGTACACATGTGCGTGTACACGAATGTGGAGGAGTGCTTGTATGTCTGTGGGAATAAGGAAACGTATAATTTTGAGTGTGCAGTTCTGAATGTGAAAGTGAGTGAATATGTGAGTGTTAAGTACATGTGCAGTATGTATGTTTATGTGAATTTGTATGAGTACTGAATGTGAATGAACCTATGTATGTGTCAGTCAACATGAATATACCTGTGTGTGTAAGTGATTGTGCTTGAGTTTGAGAGGGTAGAGTGATGGTTGTCAGTGAAAATGGCTAAGTTTAGAAAAATATGTGTGTGCGGTTGTATTTTAGAGTACGTGCCTACAAGTTTGGTATAGAGTATGATGATGTCTCAGTGTGAAGAAAGTGAGCATGTGAATTTGTGTCAAAATGTGTGTTTCTATGTATGAATATGATTATGTGTGAATGTGTCAGGAGCAGGGAGATTGTTTTAGCTCTGTGTATATGAATGCAAGAGTGTGTAACTCTAAGCGTAAAAGTGCGAGTGGGTGAGATGGTGCTTATGGTGTGAGAAAATATAAACGTGGATATATGAGCATGTATGCATGTCTGTGTCCCTGTGATGAGTTTGTGACTATGAGAAAGAAACAGTGATGATATCAATGCAAGTACACTAGAGTGTATGAAATTGAGTATATGAAGGGCTGTGAGTATAAGAAACAGTTGGAGTGTGTGCAGGGGGAATGTCAATGTATTATTTGTGTATAGAGTATATATGACTATATAGGAATTTGGGCAGGCAAAGGTGATTGTATCCTCTGTGTGAATAAAAGTGTGAAAGTGTATGACTGTGAGTGTGTAAGAATGTAATATTAATAGCATAAAGGTGTGAGTGGCAGTGAACACGAGGGTGGGGTGTATGGTGTGTTGTGTGCATCAATATGAAAATGTGAATATGTGAATGTGAGTTTGTGGCAGTGTGAATGTACCTGAATGTGGTATGTATGTAAATATGATTGTGTGTGAGGGTGAGGGGGTAAGAGTGATCATCATTTTGAATGACTCCAGTATGAAAAGTGAGTGAGCCCAGGGGATAATGTGACTGTGTGAATGTACAAGAGTACAAGAATGTGCTTGTGAGAGTATGTATGTGTGTGTGCATGAACTAAAGATACCAAAATAACTGGATGCTGGGTAACTCTTTCCAGGAAGTCTCTTTCTTCCCAAAGCCACAGCATGTCTTCTGTTACAGGCAAGTTACTTAGCTTCTCTCAACCTCTGTCTCCTCCTTGGTAATACAGTGATGATGATAATACCTAACTTCAGCTAGTATCACTTGTATAATCAGAAACAGCAATAACTATTAGAAAAAAAAAAAAACCCTACTTTGCAAGATTACCATAGGAGCAAATGGTATTATGCCAGTAAAGTGCCTAGCACAGAGCTGGCAACAGTAGACAATAAATACAAGTTATTATTGCATCTGTCACAGAATACCAAAGAGCAATTCAGGGGCTTCTCATTTTAGTCAGTCCTAGTTACCTTCTGTCCGTCAAGGTCTAAAGAGGATCCCCTACCAGAACATCGCTAGAAAGTTGAATGCATCAGTATCAACAAGGCTGTAATTTCATACCTTCAATTCCATGGCTGAAACTCTGGAGCTTCCCTTTCATAAGAAGGCATCACAGAAACACCTGCCGCTGAGCTGCAGTTTTACCTTGTCTATAGGCCCATTGTATGTTCAGTGTGAAAGGGAACTACATTGCTTATTCCTTGCTTGTTTTTTTAGTTTGTTTTTCTGGTTGTTTTTTCAAAAACATTTGGTTGCTTGTTTTTTTGATTTGGGTAGTAGGAGAGATGCCTCAGCAACTGATAGACGGACAGAAGACCAGATGGAGGGACAGCAAGCTACAAGCAGGTAGCTGGACTGCAGGGAATAGCAACAGAGGCCAGATGGAGAAGCTGACAGAAGAAGTTATAATGCCTGCCTGAAAGGCAGACAAAGAGACAGATAGATGATCAGAGAGACAGGCCATGAAACCTGAAAGAAATGCAGAGGAAGAGAGAGAGGCCCAACTTACAAAGCTGCTGGGCTGCTGGGGAACTGTTGAGGCCTTTTAAGGGAGTCTAGAGATCTGTAAGATCTAGTCCCTGCCCTTGAAGAGCTTACAATCTAGTTTTCTTGGTAAGATGAATACTCCAGAAACCATGCAAGAATTATTGAAGGCAGTAGGGCAGCAAGTGCTACACTGCATGCTACAGACTCAAATGCTGTTGGAGACCTGGTGGAGGAAGTGCATCCTGGTTGGGTGGGAAAGTAGAGGGAAGGTTCGGGAAGGTTTAAACTAAGCCTGACAGGCCCAGAAGCAGGGATGGAAGGGGTGGGGGTACACTTCAAATAGGAAGGTAAAATTAAGTTCAGGGGGCAGTAGAAATCATAGGAACTTATTGGCAAATTTGCAGCATGTGGCTAAAAAGCCACCCAGGCACCAGGAAAGGAGAAAAGAAAATGAGAGCTTGATGGGAAGCATGTCTGTGTTACACTGAAGCTCTTAGATGGTGCTTGACATCTGCAAAGGACTTGGCAATGATTGTTATGTTGTTTCTCCTCCTCACCCCAAAATGTAGGTCAAGGCTGTCATTCCCATATTAGAGATGGGAGGGAGGCAAGAGACTAAAGGTAGCTGTACTGGGCAAAATTCGCCAGAACATAGGGGTCATGCCCTGAAGCCTAGCTCACGAGGTCCAGGCAGAGTCTTTGATATTGGGAGATCTGGTGGAAAAGCAGCATTTGCCTGGATTTGGAGATCCCTAACTCCCTGCCCTGGACTCCATTACTCACCTCACACCGCCACGGCTGCAGGACTTCAGCACAGGTGGGCACTGCCCATGAGAAGGGTCCGGACTGGCTTCAGCTCCTACAGACTCAGTGCTGGGCACACCAGCTGCCACAAGATGCAAGGACTCAGCTGCTCTTTCTTGGGGGAAACCTGCCGAGAGAAGCATTGTAGGGGAGAGGGAACCTCTTTCCCCAACTGCTACTGCTCCCTCATCCAACCCCCACCAAACATCACTCTCACACACACACACACACACACACACACACACACACACTCTCTCTCTCTCTGTCTCTGTCTCTCTCTCTCTCTCTCTTTCTCAATCTCTCTGGTGAATTTCAGAAAATCCCTTAAGAAAGCTAGAAAATTAGAGAGCTAAGAAGTGTAAAAAGGCATTGTTACATAGGATTACAGAAAGGGCACAGAAGTGGGAGTCAGGAGACGGGAGTTACAAGCTGAGAATTGCTGTTAGTCACCTGATCATTCTGGGCCTGCTTGGTATCAAGTGAAAAGGCCTGCCTTAGTTGCCTTGGATAAGTGTTGGGAGAACTAAATCAAATAAAACAGATGTGAAATATTTACATAATTTGCAAAATTATGGAGCAATATGTATAATCACAGGAGGTGGTAGAGCCCAGTGGACAAAAGGAAACAGAGACAATGGCCAATGCAAGTTGGCTCCATGAATATGTGAGCTTCCTGATGTTGCGGCACTGAATTCAGTTCAGTTCAGTTCAGTTCAGTTCATCCCTCAACTCTAAGTCTCCACCCCCATTTCCATTCCCCTTTTCACTAACCTTTCACTGGGGAAGGGTAAAAAAAGTCTGTCTGCCAGGCAACAATATTCTGAGGTCTCCTAATTTGCTACCATCTCACAGGTGCTGAAGGCCACAGCCTCTGATCCTAATTGGAGCTCCCCTCTACCTTCTCCTATCTCCACCAGGTAAGTCTTCCACTGTCCTCCCCAGGTTTCTTAGGGTGAATATACACTGTTTACTGTTGTTGTTTGGTGATAATTTACCCTATTTTTCCCACAGAGGTTTCCATGTCTAACCATGAAGGAGACTGAGTCTCTTTGAACCCTCCCTTTCTGCCTTTTCCCACAATCATTTGAGCCTCTCAAGGGAGAGGCTGATCTTCTCTGTAGAACCTCAAGCTCTGCAATCCTTCCTACTCTGCTTTCCTTTCCCCTTCCCCCAGTGGTGTCTGTCCTCAAAGAAAAGCAGAAACTACATGCTGATACTCAAGGAGGCATGATTCAGGCTAGCACCTATTTATTAGAGACCAGAATGAACAGGGTCCTAATCCAAAGAGATGGCTAGATGGTTATCTAAACACGAAGATTGCAAAATTGAAGCCTTAGGGAGCCAAGAAAAGCCCCATGATCTCCAATTCCCCCTTCTGGAAAAAAAAGTCCAAGCCATACTCTGGGTCTGCCTCTTGCTCTTGGGCAAGACTCCAGAGCATATCTGTCCCCCAGCATCCCTGGCATTCCATGTGTGCTTCCCACATGCACACTCCAAGCAGCCTTTCCAAATCCCACCCACTGCACCACTGAATGGTGTATTCGCCCCCTCCCTCCCTACGTGAGCTCACCCTGCAAGATCTCACCCTGCAAGAGGGTGGGGTGAGGGGGAGAGGAGTGCGAGCTGCCAAAGCTCCAGAGAGAGGTAGGGCTCAAGGAGGGCACAGGAAGAATGGCCTCAAGAAGCCCCCTGCCCATCTCTGGGGATGAGGGCTGACAGCAGAGGCAGCATCCACCCATTGGGGTGGGAAACAATACTAGAGGATGTAAGAGGAGGAGGGCACACCCCCAACCTGTACTACCAAGAATCTCCATGTTTTTGAGCAAGATCAAGAGCTTTCCTGAAGCCTACCTCCACCTCTCCCCAGCCCCAATTGTAGCACCACTTTTTAACTCCATGGTGGCCTGCCTTTATTTCACCACTTGCTCGAGTCAGTGCAGAATCAACTGACAGGACACGGTATTCCACCTGGTAGCCACACTCCTCTCACCTGCCTGGGGGTGTGTTGTGTTGAGAGTAGGGCAAGGGGAGATGTGTGAGCACATGTGCATACTTGGTCATGTATATCTGTGCAGTTCCCTGTACCATGTTGTATGTCTGTATATGTGTGCTGTGTCATATCTACCATGATATGTATGTATTGAGTCTGCATAATACTCTCTGTGTGTACAGTGTCCTGTTACTATCATGTTGTATACATGATCATGTCAATAAGCTACTGTGTGAGTGCTATGTGTCTGTACTGTGTTGCATGTGAATTGCTTCTCTTCTATCCTTTGTGTATGTGCAATGTGTCTAATTCGTATTGTGTAATATCTCTATGCCATGCTGTGTGTCTGCACAGTGTTGTGGGCATTGTGTGCCTCTATCATGTTGTATGTCTATACCGCCTTGTTATGCACCTATGACTCAGCCTCCTGTTGGAGACTAAGGTAAAAATCAGTGCACCCATCTTGCACGTACCCAACACCCATCACCAACCCAACTCCACTCCCAGCCACCTTGCTGCATTCCAACTTCCTGCCAGAATCCCTGTCTGGGGACTAGGGCTGCCATCTTGGTGGTGGGGGTAGGTGGAAGCTACGGACAACTACTCTACCATAGAGCCTTCCCATGCCAAGTGTCTTGCTCAGCACGGAAGATGTCTAGGAAGGGAGGTTTGAAACCTTTTTCAGGCCCAAAGGAAACAGCACTGGGGAGGAAGTTATGGGGAGCTGACTCCCTCTGTAAACCCCCAGCCCCATCCGTATATGCAAGGAGAAGAACTTGCAGGAAATGGTGGCTGGCTGAGTTTCTCTGTCAGGCTGGTTGGAAGGACTGGGAGCCTTCTCCACAGGGAGTAACCACTGCACAAGGGCACTGGCGATCAGGTTGGGCCCTGAGATGCAGGGGGAGATCTTAAAATTGTTCCCATTGAGGTCACTAGAGGGCACTATTGTGCTGATTGTTAAGGATAGTGTTTCTTTTAAGGTGCTGAATTCCACAAAGTGCCTGGGGCTCAGAGGGAGATATAGGAAGGAAAAGGATATATGACCTAAGCCAGGCCTTTCCTTCACCTTCATACCAAGACTTTCTGTTTTGAGATTGAGTTAGGGAGTAAGGGCCACTAGTGAATATATGCCACCCACCCATCCCCTCAGGTCTGTGAGACCCCTCCGCACAGAACCTTTCAGGGGCTTGGTTATAGAGTCCCTAGCAGATTATTAACTTGGACTTCTCTTTTCCCTCCTGTTCCCAATTCATATGAAGTAAAAGTAAAGCCACACTGTTGAAAGAGACGAAATATATGTGGTTGTGGGGTTGTTTTGTATTGTTTTCCCCAAAACTGGAGGGCATACAAAAAAGAAGGGGTAATTTTTCTGACAGGGAAAGAAGAGGGCTATACTTTAGTGGACCTGTCTTCATTACCAAGAATAAATGGACCACCCTATAGAACAACTACTGACAACTTCATCGTTTGAAAGACAAGGAAACTGAGGCCTAGAGAGGGGCAAACACACTGTCTGGAACCCCTAAACACAACAGGGGTCCCAAACTGTCACTGTCTGGGACAGTGTGTTTGGGAGTCCCAGACCAGACCCTACCCCTCCAGAACACTTGACTTCTGACTCCCAGGGTTCATTCCACCCCAGTTCCTGGTCCTTTGGCCCCTAAAAATGTTCACTCTTCAAATTCAGCCCCTTCCAACCTCAAAGAAAAACTCTGGCCTCCCTCTCCACCATGTGGGTTCCAAGGCCATCCTATTCCATCTCAGCAATCAGGCCTCTCTGTGACCACACCTTTCTAATGATTTCCTCTTCCCACCAGTAAATTGTTACTCTCTTTTCAGTTTTCAAAGTCCATCTCCCCATTATGTTTCCCAGACTCAGACCCAGCTGTAGCTGCACCGTTTTGCTCCTCATTGCATCCCCTGGGTTTAGCACAGATTGCTCCAACCTGCAGATAATTGACCAAATGTGGAACTCAGACACAGATCTATTGCATTGATTAACATTTCCAATTAAACTCCTGGTTAGGCTGTGTGTATTAGTGACTCAAATAATCACCGCACATGTAAATGCAAATGCCTTCTAAAGCCACGGAGCGCGGTAGGAAGCGACGCATATCTGGGAGGAAATGGCAACAGACTGCCAGACCCGGAGGTTCATTTGGTCCTCCGGTAACCCTAAATGAGATTTTTAAATGTGTGGCTGTTAGTTGATCCGAGGCTTAAGCATCACACCTGAAATGGAGGATTCGGGTTCTGCGCGTCGCTGCAGGCCCTTTTCCGCCCCCTGCTGGAGAAGCTGTGTAGTGCCGAGTTGGCAGAGGAGTCCACCCCAGGCCCTGCAGAGGGAAACGCCTAGACCCCGGCAGGTGGGGGTGGGGGTGGGGGACGCGTAGCGGAGGCTTAAGTTATGCCCCAGATGCCTAGACTGCTGCACTTACCTTCCGAAGTAAAGGTTTTACACAGTTCCCTGCGCGCACAGAGTCTCCAGGGATCCTGAGAAGGAGGGCTTTTTTTTTTTTTTTTTTTTTTTTTTTTTTTTGGGTGGGGATGCGTAGCGGAGGCTTAAGTTATGCCTCTAGATGTTTAGATCGCTGTAATTTACTTTTCCGGGCAGAGCATAGTTCTTGCGCAGCATAGGAGTCCCAGGGATCCCGACAGCTTATGGCTTTTTTTTTTTTTTTTTTTTTTTTTTTTTTTTTGAGCAAGGGTCCCAGACCAGGCCCCAACCCACCGATGTAAAAGCAGTCAACCTACCTGTCTAGGCCAGATTGATAGCGCCTCCACTTCCCTTTGGGACACTGTCCTTCCCCACTCCCCTCTCCTTACCCAGGAAGAAAGAGCCAGTTGTTGAGGCTGCTGCTCACTGAGTTTCTTGTTCTCTTGGTTAAAGCTACTGGTTCCTGAAGGTGAGTTGCATGGGTGGGGATGCTGTTGATTTTAAATATCTAGAATCATCCTTCTAATTCTTGGCTGAGCTGCAGCTGCCTCAGCCACCAAAGTTTCCTATCCCACCAGAGAATTCAGGGCTTTTGGGTTCTTGGTAAGGCCATGACTTTTCTTCTCTCTCTCTTTCTAGTTTGCTCCTGCCTTCCTGCCTACTCCATCTGATCTGTAGATCTGATTTTTCTTTTCTTTTTTTTTTTGCCTTGGCCACATTCTTTAACCTTAATTTAGTAGCTTAGTCTCTGAACACAAATGGCAAAGTCTTTGATGTCAGCACCTCCCCATCCCTGCAGTTCTTTTTACTTCTCGTTTCCCTCACCTGGTATGTCCACTACTCACCCTCTCCCAAGACCTCAGCAAACTTGTTTGCTCTATATACCATTTCCACCTCTGACCAGGAAAATCTACAACCTGTGGGAATCGTTAACTAGTCAGAATGTCCCTAGGGTCCTGTGTCCCCTAGCTTATAACCCTATTGCATGTGAACCTCCTTTTCCTGTCAGGTCTCTCCTACAAGGCCCACGTGCCTGTCCGGAGGCTTGCAGGGTCAGCTCCTTGACATTCTAAGGTCTCTCTGACCTCAGGATTCTCGGCTGTCAGCTCTTGACCAGGCTACCTCCTAGTCTCTTCCCATTTTGCTTGTTGCATGAGCTGGGGGATATGACACTTGTATCCAGAAACAGAGGCTTACAAATGGCTCTCTCTCCAAGCCTCCGCCTGTTAGTCATTCATTACCATATCAAGCCTCTTTGCCCAAAGTTGCCCCTGATTGGAGGCCTCAAGTACCAAATCACAGATCTTGTCCAATTAAAATTTTGCAAATGGCCTAGTGAAAACCGCACTGACCTTTACACCTCGCTCATCCCAGAACAGGGCCACGGTGTTGTCACCAACAGGAATGGACCTCCTTCTGTTCCAATACCTCAGACAGCCATACACTTGGCCTGGATTTGAGTCTGCAAAACCATGAGGGGAGCAAGACTAACATGGCTAAAGGCTTCCCTGCTGAAAGCCGTTTTTTAAAAATAGCACTGCAACCGCCCCCATCATGCTTCCCAAAGCCAAGCCACTCACCCTTCTCTCCTTCGCTTCTACAGACCGACGGCCCAGAACCCTCAAGTCTAGAATCTGGAACTGGATTCTGAAAGGTGGGACCAAAAAACAAAAAACAAAAAAAAAAAACAAGTGGGGCCTCTATCTCTCTCCTTGCCTGAATCCCCCTCTTCCCACCATCCCCCACCCCACCCCACCCCTTAATCACCACCTAGGGAAGGGAAACTTGCCAGAGCAAGAATCTAAAATGTTCGATTCACGCAAAAGTGCGGCAATAATCTTGCCAGAACCAGTTCACAAACTGAGGGCAATGTCCCCCAGGGAGCTAAGGGGAAGAGGGGAGAAGGAGAGGCAGTGGACCCAATGACACTGCTCCCCAGACAAAGACAGGGCCAATCCAGGGACCCCGAGCTTTCTGGGGACGTCATTGCATCATTCCAATCCCCACAGGAGAAGACAAGAGTCCCCCTGTTATTACCATCTCCCCACCAAAAAAGGGGAGGGCGATAAAGAAAAATAAAAGAGGGGAAGGCACCCATTTAAGAAAATCGTCACTTTTTCTCTTTTCTCGTGTGTGTGTGTGTGTGTGTGTGTGTGTGTGTGTGTGTGTGTGTAGGGGGCGGGGGGTTCTGCCCTGGACTTGGTCAGACCATGGCCACACCCCCTCCCCTTCTCTAGGGAACTGCTGTCACAGCTACCCGGGCTGGGTAGGGGGGCGGGGGGCGAAAGGGAAGACTTACAGGCTGACGTAGCTTTCAAGGCGGGTTTTGCCTCAAGTGGCCCAGGCCCCAGTAAACGAGTCTAGGGTTTGACCAAGCGAAGGAGCCCCGGCCCTCTGGGAACGGCCCTGACACACCCACTTGTCCGCGAACCGGGATCAAGCAAACTGCTCGCTTGGTCTCAGGGCTCCGGCGAGCCACGTAGGAGACTCGAGGCTGGGGCACAAACAGGACAGGAGGGGGGTCCGGAAAGGCAGAACATCTGCCCAGCAACCTTAAAGCATCATCCAACAGCCACCCCCTCCCCCGCGCTAGCCCGGGTGCAGTTAGTCGCGGGATTTACCTGCCACGGATCCAGCCACCCTGTCAAGACCTTTCCTCTACCTCCGAGAGCTCCAGCTGGCGGGGCTGGGGAGCCGCAGCCCCGCGGCCGAAGCCGCAGCCCCGGGCCCAGCCCGCTCCCCCTGGCTCTTCTCCCGCCCCCGCACACTGGCTCGAGGCGGGGAAAAACTGCAGCCCCCAGTGCGAGATCCCAGACGGTTAGCTGGCACAGCTGCCCGCCCGCGGTAGAGCCCCTGCTCGGCAACCGCTCCCTAGCCGTTCTCTGCTATGACGTCACCCGAGCTCTGCACCTTACCTAGGCCAATCAGATGGTGAGCATAAAACTAAAATCGCCCTGAGTGGGCTACTGGGGACCAATCTTTTGTTTCCAGGCAGGAAGCGCCTGGGAGGGGGAAAAACTGAAGGGGAGGGAACATGGAGAGGGAAAGGGAGAGGAGATGGAAACTTCTACACTGTCAGGGTTGTCTAGACAGAGGTGGGGCCATCCAAAAAGAGGGGCACCTGACAGGATGGAGAGGAGGGGAGAGTTCATTTATCTTCCTTAATTGCTCCCCTCAGGAAAATTGAGATTTCAGATGAATTTTCGGGGGACGAAATCTGTCCAGCTACACAGGCACGCTTTATTCGGGGGAAAAAATTGTTTCGATTTGGGACACCACCTGTCAGCCAGGCAGGTTAAACTGATGGAATCTCTAAAATACACAGAAAACTGAGAGAGGCAGATGTGGCAGTGGAATTCAAAGAGATGGCAATCTAGATCAGGAAACTACTTTTTTGCATACGAAGTACACACATTCCAAAAAGCACGGAATTATACAAAAAATAAAAATAATTCTACTTCAAATGGAGTTTAAATGTGATTCTCTCTGTCCATCCTTTCCCTTAAACCTTCAAAGCTTTCTCTTGTCTTTAGGATTCGGTTCAAATTTTTGCAGATGTCCAAAGCTTTCTAAAATCTAACTCCAAAAATAATCTCTTGCTACTCCAAAATCCATACTCCCCATGATTTGGCTAGGTTATGTAAATTATGGTGAATTCCGGCAAGGAGACAGTAAGCTGCCATAAAAAGTCAAATAATACAAAACAACAAGGACATTCAAATTGTAATGATGTAAAATATGCCTACAGAAAACGATCAGAAGAGGACATAAAATTGTAATAGTTGGGTTAAACTAGTAGTATTATGAGTAACTTTTTCTTTCTACTTTCAAATTTATTTTTATAAAGATAAATATATCCTCACATACTTAAATGACCAAAATAGATCGTGACCCTTCCCAGTGAGCTTTTATTCAATTTTCTCTACACTGTATAACATCCAGCAATAATTTCTCCATAATGCCAACAAAATAGGTTCCAAGAACAAGAGTGAACTAATATATCTGCCCAGGTCCTTTTAGTAAAAGTCGTACAAAAGAGCTACAGATGACCAGACGCGGTGGCTCACGCCTATAATCCCAGCACTTTGGGAAGCCCAGGCGGGTGGATCACCTGAGGTCAGGAGTTCAAGACCTGTCTGACCAATATGATGAAACCTTGTCTCTACTAAAAATACAAAAATTAATGGGGCGTAGTGGCATGCGCCTGTAATCCCAGGTACTCGAGAGGCTGAGACAGGAGAATCGCTTGAACCCAGGAGGCGGAGGTTGCAGCAGCGAGCCAAGATCCCGCCACTGCACTCCAGTCTGAACAAGAGCAAAACTCCATCTCCAAAAAAAAAAAAAAAAAAAAAAAAAAGAGCTACAGATTCGCCAGACATAACATCTCAGCATCTCAGGCAGTTGAAGAATGGGATGCCTCTTTTGGACTAATTCATTTTAAATTGTGATGATATAGGGAATTGAGAAAAACAACAATGATCCACTCTATGGCAAAACAAGAAAGAGGGAGGCAAAGACTAAGTAAACTATGTAATCCAGACTATTTTAAGGGTCACTTTGCGTTTTATTTTCCTAAATTCAAAATATATGTATTAATGCATATATGAGTATTACATTAACATTGTAGAAAGTGGTAGAGCTGGGATTTATATCTAAATGAGTCCAATGTCCATGCTTTTTCTAATATGATACAGTTTACTACTGCTAAGAATTAAATGTGGTATTACTGGTTTTGTTAAAATACATACTTGCTGTAAAAGAAACAGACTATGTAAGACTGGCATTTTTAAAAAATCAGGCATTTTTAAAAATAGCTTTTTTAGTGTGGTGGTTGTCTTTAATGCAAAAATATCCAACACCCTCACGCTCAAATCCTTGATTAATAGGTTGGAATCAGGATGGTTCTGACTCCAGTGATTTTACAGATATCTTTTTAATTAACTTTGGAGTAAAAAAATAAGCAACCACATCCCATTGATTTTTTTTTTTTTTTTTTTTGCACCATGGTAAAAATAATCTAAAAAAATCACAAATCAAAATGAATGTAATTTATTCAATGTTAACATCTCTGATTTGTAAAATG